TCTCTCTCTCTCTCTCTCTCTCTCTGGCTCTAGTATTCCAGCGGGTTACCGCGTATATTAACGTGCACCCTGGAGAGTGGAAAACGAAAGAAGAAGAGCGAGAGTTCGACGTAAGAAAGAGCGGAGTGGAGGGTGAATATGAATTGAACGCACGTTCAATGGCGGATCTCGTTTTCGTTTAACAAGTAAGAAGCGGTGACACCCTTTCCTCTCGTCGTTGCCACCATTCTCTCATTTCACCAATCCTCCCCCAATATGCATCGACACGAGGAGGAATGGACGATCGATGACGACGAGGATTCGGTTCGAGCCGCGAGGCAAATAATCTTCCGCCCCGTTGGAACCTTGTTTTCGATCGGTGAAGCTTATCCGAGACAGGAGCTTTCGTTCCTCTCGCCTCTGGCTAATGGTAATTTGATCGTTATAACAGGTGAATCGTTTTTTTGGCGCCTGCCTTAATTAACTCATTATCGCGATAATGATGGATAGCTTTGATCAGATAACGGGTATGGAATGCCTCGTGCTCAGGATAAATATTAATTATCGCGTTATCGCTAATTGGTTGCTCTGTTATCGAGCGAGATCCGTTGTTTGAACGTATTCTGGTGAGGTAATGTTTCGTTCTTGAAACCGTGCCTCTAACAATTTAATAATGCTTTTGACATATGAAGATATGACATACGAAGAAAGTATTATAAATAGAAGAGTAGTAGTAATTTTAATTTTCGTTTCGACCAATTAACATTTTTTTCTTTCTTTCTTTTTTTTTTTAAGAATTCGTTGTGAACGTTATTATATCGGAGAGGTATGTAATAATTAGAGAACTGTACAGAGTGTTCCATTTTCTAGACAGAGAAGGCACGAAGGTCGACTTTAATTGCATTGGATGCATTAATAACTTTCGTAACTTCTAAAAACTCTCCAACCACTAGAAAATTTAATTTCTTTAAAAAATATTTCATCGAATAAAATACGTGGAAGATAGAAACACAAATTTCTTCGTTTCTTTCTATCTCGTGTATACTAAATAATTAAAATATCTCCTCTAAATTAATAACTTCTCCACAGAAATTGATTTTTGACACGACTTCTCTGCTTCCTAAAGTATCTAAACTAAAAAATCCTCAAGATCAAAAGCAAGATCAAGAGTTTCTGAAACATATTTACCTCCAAATAATCGAATGGAGCACTCTGGAGCATTCGAAATCATTGTACACGAAATCGTAGACCTCGTTTCCTTACGTCCTTTTCTTTTTTTTTTTTTCCCCTCAAAATTACTCACCTGCCATCCTTGAAGCAGCAGGCTTCTGTCGACAGTCCTCAGCCACATGACAGCGTCGCCAGCCTGGAAGTCTCTTAAACGGGTGCATTTCCTGTGAAGGAAGACGCCGAGGCATTTGAGCAATTCCGAGGTCGATGCCTGGATCACGGTTTTCCTTGGCTTCGGAGGCAAAGGCTTCTGCACGAGCTTCTCGCACGTCGGGTTGTGCGTGTTGTGATTGTTGTTCGACGCCGGCGGTTTCGTCTGCTTCCGATAAAATGGCGGATTAATCCCTTCGCAAAAATACACGCACGCACGCACACGCATACACACGCACACCAATAAAGAGGGAGGTACGTTTCGAAGGTGAAAAGGTGGGGTGGCGATAAATAATTCCGTCCGTCGAGCGGGGAGTCTCGGTTTCCGTTTTAGACGCGGAATCCTTGACGAGGAGGTGGAGGCCGATAAAAATTGAAAGGAGCTCCTTTTGAGGGAATCTGTTTCGCCCAGAGGGGGAGAAAAATACACAACCGTGAAACGTAGACGAAGGGAAACGTAGATAGGATCGATACTCTTTCGATCGTATCTAGGGTCAAAGCACCTACGATGCTCTTTGCACGAGACTACGGTTCGAAGCTACTTGGTGGATATCTAGGTGAAAATGGGCCACTGTTGCCGCAATCGCCACGTAAACCGTTGCATCATATTGTACTTATAGATAGAGGACGTTTTCGATGTCCTTGGATTCATAAAAAAAAAAAAGAAAAATCTACGATACACAGTATCGTATTATTGATTGTGACTACCCTTTCAGAATTTATATTCAGTTAATTTTAATATCATTCAATAATTAATATCGATGAAAAAGATTTCTCGAAAAAGATGCCACTATATGGTATTTTTATACTTTTCCAGTATTTCGTATAAAGAAAAAAATTTCATGTCAATGAACTTGAATTTTGATCGAGAAAAACTCGATATTGTTTGTAATAATAAGAAAACGGGATTCACCTGAGGCGTCTGTATATTCTTATTCTTATCGACGATGGGTATGTTATCGAGCGGTTGCCTGAACCCAATGTTCTTGTTCTTATTGTCGAGCTTCTTCTTGTTGTTGTTCGACGTGCTGAACCGTTTCCACGATAACGCGTTTATGAACAACGAGTGTTTCTTCAGGTTCTTCTCGAGGGCGTTCTTCTCCGAGATGATCCTCGCGTTGTCGTTGTTGTTCAGGTTGATATTGTTGTTTTGCAACGAGTTATTGTTCGTAGGCGGATGATTCGTAGGCGGCGCCGGCGCCACCGTAGCAACGCCGCTCTTGTTCTCTCGGTTCTTCGCGTTGTTCAACTGCTCGTAATTGAAATTGTTCAACGTGAAATCAGCGGGATGCTGATGACCCGGTGGTGGATACACGGAACCGCGTCTGTCACGCGGGCTGAACGACAACACGGTACCCATGTTGCTGGTTCGGTTCTCTACTTGTTGTTGTTGTTGTTGTTGTTGTTGTTGTTGTTGTTGTTGTGGTGGTGGTGGTGGCGGTGGTTGCGGTTGCGGTTGAGACGGTGGCTGCGGCTGTTGTTGCGTCTGCGTCGCCTGATGACCGGGATTTTGACTCTGTTGTCTCACGTTTTGGGGCTGGTGTCCAGGGTTTTGAGTCTGATGACCCGGATTCGCCGACTGATGACCTGGGTTCTGACTCGGGTTGGCCGGGTTTTGACCCTGATGGCCAGGATTCTGAGCCTGGTGACCTGGGTTCTGACCCGGTT